GGCAGGATGACAGAGAAGGCATGGGGGAAGGAAGAGATGAAGGTGAGCTTTAGCGACTCAAAAAAATCAACCAGGAGGCAGACAGCATGGAGCAGGGCATGGTGGGGAGATGTGGGAGGTGTTTTATGAGTCGGCTTCAAGAATTAGCAACAGCTGCAACACTTCGGAATGCTGCCAAGTAAACGACAGCAGGAAACAAGGAATTTGGGGATATTTCGAGAGCAGAGAGAGGATGGGAAAAGGGCAAGAAAAGCAGGAGTTTCGCGTGAATCTGAGAGGTAATCTCAAGCTTGCTCTCAGAATTCGGTGCAAGCTTGTTCCCTGAGTATTACCAATGATACGCCACGACTAAGAAGCACTAGGTGCAAGCCTGTGTCATGGCTGTTATTGATGACACCAACCTAGAGCAAAAATACCACAAATCACCACCAGCATCCTTCTATCGTACCTACGATCACATCAGCAGCAGCCCCCAACGCAGCAGTAGCTTCGGATAAAGCAGCAGCAGCAGTGGCAGCAGCTGGTGGGGCTGAAGCAGCAGACGCAGGGGCGGATGAGGAGGCGGATGAGAGTGGGGGAATGGGCGATGCAGCGGATTGGGGTAGACTCGGTAGAGGCAGGTCAACGAAGTCAATGCAGGGCAGGGATCGGTCCTTGGAGATGTACACGTGTACTGACAGGAGGTCACGTGCAGCCTGGGGGAGGGGGGAGGGGGAAGAGGGGGAGGAGGAATTGGGAGGAGATTTTCTATCACGTGTGGATCGAGGCGACTCGAAAAGAGGATCAATGCAGGGCAGGGAGAGGACCTTGGAGATGCACACGTGCACGGATAGGAGGCCACGTGCAGCCTGGGGGAGGGGGGATAGGTAGGGTGTGGCGGGTGGGAATGGGAGTGGACAGAGTGTTTGAGTGAGCTTCGAATCCACTCAACACACACCCAGATTCTCGTCAATTTAAGGTCAATGTGAAGTCAATGTAGGTCAACATGAGGTCAATGTAAGGCCAATGGAAGGTCGATAAAGGCAAGGCGCAAGACTTGCAGCACATGTGAACTCGGCTGGTTTGGTTGGTGCGAGTTCCAGGTGTGGACGTGTGGTTTGGCGCTGCATGCATGGCCTGGCCTCGTACATACGGCTATGCACCAACACATGGCGCAGGCATGGCCTGAAAGGGTGGTGTATGTATGGGAGTGAGAGGGTGGGGCGTACTGTCACTGGTCCGAGAGCACGGGCAATCCCAGGCACAGCAGAAGCAGCATCAGAGAGAGTGCCTGTATGACTCGTAAGATCTGCAAGAGAGAGGAGTGTGAGGTGGGCGTACCAGCACGTGGTCGAGTTTTGAGACGTCTCAAAAGTCGTAAGATCTGCAAGAGAAAGGAGAGTGAGGTGGGCGTACCAGCATGTGGTCGAGAGCACGGGCAACACCGGGTGCAGCAGAAGCAGCGGCCTCGCCCGTGAGAGTGTCCTTCCAGCTGCCACTTGTCACCACGCGAATGGCTGGCTCTGTGCTGGAGCTGGTGGTGCCGATGGTGCTCGTGCCGCTGGTGCCGGTGCTAGTGGTCGTATTGGTGGTGCTGGTGGTGGCAAGCTTGGTTGACGTTGCTGCAGGGATACTTTCTCCCGTGTACCTGTGGTGTGGAAGGGTTATGTAAGACAATGCGCGAGATTCTTTGCGATTATTGAAGGTAATAACTCAAGGGATGCTTTGCGATTATTGAAGGTAACATGAGCGTATTTGCAACCTTCTTAACAAACCCAGGTTTTCTTCACAACAACTCGAGGCTACGAGCGTTCAAGTGCGCAGCGCACCATTCGAGAAAGGAGCGCTTGGCGGTTGAGTCGTCCCCTACCAGCAACACGGTGAGCTTGGGCGGCGGGCCACTCACTGCCTGCCCCACCAGCGGATCGCCTGCCACGTGGCTCAAGCACAAAAACTCTGGCAGGCGCGGCGGGGAGGGGAGCGGAGGGGGGCGGAGGGGAAGGGAGGGGAGCGGAGGGGGGCGGAGGGGAAGGGAGGGGAGCGGAGGGGGGCGGAGGGGAAGGGAGGGGAGCGGAGGGGGGCGGAGGGGAAGGGAGGAGAGCGGAGGGGAGGCAAGAGGAGAGGAGCGGAAGGGGATTGATTGGGAAAACGGGGGTGATTTGGGGGCGGGAAGAGGGGAGGGGCGGCGGCGGGGAAGCAGGGGAAAGGAAGGGAATGGCACATGGGGGAAGCAGGAATCGGGTGCAGACGAGGGTAGGGGGGGGGGGGGCGCGGCGCGACGCGACGCACCGTTCATGGGGGAGTCCGGCGGCGGGCAGTACGCTTCGGAGACGAGGCGCAGCGCGGTTTCCTGAGGTCCCATGCCGGTCCACCCGAGACACGCCATGGCTCGCACGCGCCGAAGTTTCTATTCTGAATCCTCTACTCTGAGACCTCTATTAAAAATATCCCTATTCTGAACTGGTAGAAACTGGGCCAGCTCACGCGTTTCAGGTCGGCGCCACACGGGATTCACTCAGACTACCCACGCGCGCGAGTCACGAGGTTTGGTTCGAAACCGTCTGGTAACCGTTTCGTGACTGTTCCGAGATCGAGTCGCGATGATCTCGAGACTCGCACAGTTCCAAGGCGAAGGGTGTGAGGTGGGGTGGGGTGCGGTTATCTCGACGACAGCGAGGCTTTGTTACAATCGAGCCGGAGAAGAATCGATCTTGTGCAGTGCAGAAAGCAAGCAATGCTATGGATCCGAAATGCAATGTTCGATCAGCTGTGTCGGCTCAGCGAGTCAGCAGCAGCGCACATGACTCACGCCTGCCTAGTTCCCTTACGCTTCTTGCCTGCTGCTCCTATCAGTCAAGGGAATAAAGACACAGCGGATTCGGCACGTTGCTTGGGTTGGATTGGGAGTGACAGCCAACATGAGCCTTGGCCCCTGACAGATCGCTGGTGAGGTCATAGGTATTGCCGAGCATCTAATGATGCTTCTAGAAGTTGCTTCGCTTCCATCATGATTTCTCGTTTGATAAATCTACGCAAGATAGAGCCAGAAAGTAAGAATGTAAGGCGAGCTACTATGTTAGCTTCTGCTGCACAATGCGTCCGCACCAATTACCTGTATTATGTGCAGGCACTCTTGTTAAATTAAGAGTCTAGTAACCGTGCGATCACATTCGTCCAGAAAGGCTAGAGGTTGCATTGCGTTGCATCCTCTCCTCTGAATCTCAGACCCTGACCATAGAATTACCTGTACTAGTACCGTACCGTGCATTTCTATTTCACAGGCTGGAGCTTCACCACCACCAGAGCAGCTGTTTGAGCAGCTGCTTAGGCAGCAATCGAATCACCAGCAGCAGCACAGCTGCTGGCAACAGCAGCAGCCTGGCCTGGCTATTTGAGGTGCCCCCACCATGCATGCGTGATCATCATCCGGCCTTGTTGAACATGCCCGTTCCACGCTTCTTCTCGTCCACCCTGTACCATTGACCAGCCAGCCACACGGGAAGAATGGGTAGCGGATAGAAACTTAAAGCTGCGGCCTACATACTCCGAGCGGGAGGGCTGAGATTATCACTTGAAAACAGGGTGACCAGTTTTTGGACTCGGCCCCCTTTCTTGCAAAGTTAACGGTTGAGAGGGGTGGAGAGAGGGGGTTGGGGTTCTTTCCGCACGAAACCGAACTCCCCAGGTTGTTTCCCGCCCTTCCGCAGACCCTCCTCCAAACCACCCGTCAGCACGAAATTGGGCTGGATTCGCGTTTCCTGACTTCGTTCTCCAATCAGGCCGCACGAAAGGGTTGGCATAAAAAATACACCCAAAAAACACCACTTAGTATGTAGACCGCAGCTTTAAAACAGCGGCAACAGGGTTTAGGGTTAATGCAAGGTGTGGAGGTGCTAAAAAGGTGTGGGGAGGAAGGTGTGTGAGGGAGAAAGGTTCTGTTGGATAGTGTCGGAACACTAATACAGGACTATGGCTTTTGTTGGGTGGGAGAGGGTTGGGTTGGGACAGGGAAGGTCAACAGGAGAAGTGCATAAGAAGCGCAATAGACGTATGCTTGAAGCCTAAGTTAGCTGGGTTGGGTTGGGTTCCTACTGCCTCTGTTATTCTGAAGCACGCAGTGCAGTCATACCCTTCCCCCTTGTTACCCTCCTTCCCCCACTTCCCACCCATCCATCCACTCACAGGTTCCCAATGGATAGCATGGCCTTGCCCAACAAGATATCCACCACCGTCCCATCTGTCTCTTCTTCAGGCCGCACTTGAACACCCATTTCTATGACTCTGAGACAAGTTCCATTATCACTTCCCCATCCCTCTCTCCCACCCTTCCCCCTCCACCCATCCATCCACTCACAGGTTCCCAATGGATCACATGGCATTGCCCGACACATTATCCACTACCGTGCCATCCACCTCTCATTCAAGCCACACCTCAACACCCGTTTACATGACTCTCTGAGAGGCACACAGGCTCCATCGCCACTTCCCCATGTAGTAAGTCAATTTTTGAGTTATTCAACTAAAATATCAACTAACTTAACACCCATTTACATGGCTCTCTGAGAGGCAACACAGGCTCCTCCATCGCCACTTCCCCATCCCACCCTCCCCCCTCGCACAGCCCCATCCACCACATCCACCCTCTCCACCCATCCATGCACTCACAGGTTCCCAATGGAGCGCATGGCCTTACCCGACACGTTATCTACAACCCTGGCATCTGCCTTAAACTAGTTCGAAGCAAACTGCAGCACCCGCTTCTATCGTTCTGACGTGCACAGGTTCGCTCATTCCTCCACCCCTCCCACCCCACAAACCCGCCCACCCACCCATCCATGCACTCACAGGTTCCCAATGGAGCGCATGGCCTTACCCGACACGTTATCTACAACCCTGGCATCTGCCTTAAACTAGTTCGAAGCAAACTGCAGCACCCGCTTCTATCTTTCTGACGTGCACAGGTTCGCTCATTCCTCCACCCCTCCCACCCCACAAACCCGCCCACCCACCCATCCATGCACTCACAGGTTCCCAATGGAGCGCATGGCCTTGCCCGACACATTATCGACCACCGTGCCATCCGCCTCCAGAGTGTAATTCGCCCCTGGCAGGTGCAGCAGGCCCTTCTTGGTCAACGCAGTCAACTCCTTCTTCGGCACCTCCCGCCCGTTCACATACACCCGAGTCTTGCCGCCCGCTCCAGAGCAGTCCTTTTCCAATGGGTGGTTTCCAAACTCGTGCATGAACGCCTGTTGTGTGGGGAGGGGGGGGAGGGGGAGGAGGGGGAGGGGGTGGAACGGTGGGAAGTCTACATTTGAGGCGTCTCAGGAGTCCGCTCCTGAGCGGTCCTTTTCCATGGGGTGGTTTCCAGACTCGTGCATGAATGCCTGGTGGGGAAAGAGTGGGGGAGGAGGGGGAAAAACGAGAGGAAGAGGTGGTTCGTGGGGAAAAGAGAAGAGGGGGGAGTGTGAGCGGGAAGGCTCAGTTGGGAGGGTGGCTCTCAAAATTGTAATCAAAAGGCCTTATGGAGAGATGATGCTGCAATAGAAACATATTCGAGAGAGGGTGCTGTGAGTGCAGGGGTGCATGCGCGTCCAGTCAATTTTAGTCAAGTGACTCGAAAGTGAGAGCAGGCAGCCAGCGTGTAACGGTGGGTTGGAATGGAGGGAGGACAGCAGCCGGAAAACACAGGTGGAATGGAACAGTTGGCCCAATGGGCAAAATACTGAAGGGCTGATACGAGGAGACCCTTGAGTCAACTCAAAAGTCACCTCGAAACCACTGGTGGAACAGTTGGCCCGATGGGCAAAATACTGAAGGGCTGACGCGAGGATGCAAGAAGAAGGGAAGAGCGGCAGGCGAGCAGGGAGTTGGAGTGGGAGTGGGAGAGGGAGTGCGAGTGCGAGTGCGAGTGGAAGTGGGAGTGGGAGTGAGAGTGGGAGTGGGAGTGGGAGTGGGAGTGGGAGTGGGAGTGGGAGAGGGGGAAGGAGAGGGAGGCATACCGGCAGCACACCAAGAGATGGCCCGCCCATGACTCCCCAGAAGCCAGCTCGGATGTCGTACCTGTGGGGTGGGGGATAGGGAGGGAAGGGCATGTGACGGGAGTCAGGATAAGAGAGAAAGTCGGGTCAGCATGATTGCCCAGGATTGCTCGGTTATTCTCCACTTATCCATTACAAGAGGAGGGAGGGAGGGAGGGAGGAGGGAGGGAGGGGGCAGGGGGGCTACAACGCATGGTCACACAATGCTGCACTGTTGCCTCTGTCACACCCCCATACTACTCATGAAGAACAAAACTGGAAGTTTCCATTGCTAGTACACCGCCTCACTCTTCAATATTCGACAGTGTTCAAGGCCACGCATCCAGTTCCTTTGAGGGAACGAGCCGAGCTCTTCCTTCCTTCCATGCATCCAGAATCCAAGTCATTCACTTCAGTGCGCCTCCCTCGCATCGCACCTTCTCTCAAACCACGCCCTTTCTCCAGACTTCCCCCCGGGTCGATGGAGCCGATTTGCTCTGCTCCGCCTGCACCACGTGCTGGCCAGGCTTAGGAGGCGCCTCAAACCTATCCTCCACACCCCCGCCCCTCGCCCCCCAACACCCCCCCGTGCTTACCAGTATTTCCCCGGGTCGATGGGTCCGATCCTCTGCTCGGCCTGCACCACCCGCTGGTCCGGAACGGCCTGCCCGTTCACCCAGATCTTCCGCCGGTACTGCTCCCCCCCTGTCCAACTCCTCCTCATTGGCGGCCTCGCCTCCTCTGCATCGCCAGCAGCAGCAGCACCTGAAGCTTCTCCTGCGGGTCTGCGGCGGAAGGAGGAGCTTCCCACTCCTGCTAGCGGCGTCCCAGCCACGGCCCCGCCCACAGAAGCAGAAGCACCACCACCACCACCACCTGCCATTCTTGCCGACCCCATGCGTCGAAACACCCCAGCCCCTGCTGCTGCTGCTCCTCCCCCTACCCCTACTCCGCCTCCTCCTCCTCCTCCTCCTCCACTGCCTACTCCGCCTCCTCCGCTCTCACTGCCTGGAGCACCACCGAACCCAAACTGCCCAAAGCTACTACTAGCCTGTCCGCTGACCTGAGAAGCACCACTGGGGGTCATGGGGACAGGAACCACACGAGACCCCGCTGCTTCTCTGTTAGACTGCACTCGCCGCACACCCCTAGGCGCCACATGCTGCTGCTGCTGCTGCGCCAGTGCCCCACCTGGTCCCCCAGGCCCCCCAGGTCCCCCAACAGCCCCCCCAGCCCCCCCAGGCCCCCCAACACCCCCCCCAGGCCCCCCAAATCCCCCCAGTCCTTGGTTTCTCTCCTTGAAGCTGGGCGATGGGATCAGGTTTTGGTTCTGCATCTGGTTCTGGTTGTTGCTCTGGTTGTTGCGCTCGTTGAAGCTCCCTCCGCCCCTGCTTGTCGCCTCTGAAAGGCTGCGGGATGCTGTAGAAGTGAGGGAGCGCTGGGATTGCAGTGGCGGCAGTTGCAGCTGTAGCTGCGGTGCCTGCTGCTGCTGTGCCTGCTCCTGCTGCCACTGCTGCTGCTGTGCCTGCTCCTGCTGCCACTGCTGCTGCTCTTGCTGCATTCCCTGCTGCTGCATCATTGCGTGCTGCTGCTGTTGCTGCTGCCATTGATACTGCTGCTGCTGCTGCTGCTGCTGCTGCTGCTGCTGCTGCTGCTGCTGCTGCTGCTGCTGCTGCTGCTGCTGCTGCTGCTGCTGCTGCTGCTGCTGCTGCTGCTGCTGCTGCTGCTGCTGCTGCTGCTGCTGCTGCTGCTGCTGCTGCTGCTGCTGCTGCTGCTGCTGCTGCTGCTGCTGCTGCTGCTGCTGCTGCTGCTGCTGCTGCTGCTGCTGCTGCTGCTGCTGCTGCTGCTGCTGCTGCTGCTGCTGCTGCTGCTGCTGCTGCTGCATGCCTGCGGGCATCCCTCCTGCTGGCCCCATCGCATGGGGCGTGGAGAGGTGATACATATTCTGTGCCTGCAGCAACTGCTGCTGCTGCTGCTGCTGTTGCATGGGAGTGGGAGGCGGCAGCTGCTGATACTGTTGCTGGTATTGTAACTGCTGCTGCTGCTGCTGCTGCTGCTGCTGCTGCTGCTGCTGCTGCTGCTGCTGCATGAGCATCGGTGGTCTACCAGACGGTGTCATGGGCCCATACCCTCGCCCTGGCGGCCCTTGATACGCCATCCCTTCACCAACCCCACTCCAGTTCCCGCTCCCACCCCCACCCCGCATCAAACCTCCCATCCCACCCCCATCCCCAACCCCAACCCCACGCCCATACCCGTATCCATACCCCTCCCCTGCATCACTCCCGTTCCCATATCCGCCTCTACCATTTTCAGAGAAATCAGTCTCACCATGTGCGCCCCCACCTGTATCCAGCTGTCTCGGTGGACCCGCCTTGCTCTTGTTCTTGCTCTGCTTCTTGTTCCCACTCCCATTCCTGTCCCCACTCCCGCTCCCGATTACGCTCCCGCCCCCGTTCACGTTCCGATTCCGGTTCCCCTCACCTTTCTGCTCCGCCCACTCACCCACCGCTCCGCCATTCCCCCCCTCCTCCCCACGCCCCGGCCCACCATTATACTCGTCATAACCCTGCTCGTTATAATAACCCCCCTCGTTACACTCACTCCGCACTGCCTCCTGTCCATAAACATCCCGTCCCCCCCCATAACTAGAATTCAACTGATGCGTATTCGACTCGTGACTACCCCACTCGTTACTCTCCCCAGAATATCCAGCCTCTGCACCATAATCCCCTCCTGCTTCGTATCCTCCCGCCCCTTCAACCCCTTCTCTGTCCATGTACCCTTGCATTTGCACCTCCTGCTGCTGCTGCTGCTGCTGCTCGTCGTAAGGCTGCTCGGCCCCTGCTGCGGGCTGTTTCTTCTTTATCTTTTTCTTCACTACCTTCTCCTTCACCTTCGTCTTCTTGCTCCCACTGCTCTTACCCGTCGCAACAGGGGAGCCCAAAGGGGGCCGCCTTGTGCTTAGCGGGGAAGGCGGACGGCCCGTTATGACTGACAGTGTCCCTGCCCCTCCTTCCGCCCCCCTTCCCCCTCCCCCTCCCCCTCCCCCTCCCACGCCCACGCCTCCTCCTCCTTCGCCCCACCCTCCTCCGTCTGCAGTCATGCTGCCTTCTCCCATCTCCTGTTGGGTCTGGCGTAGAGACACAGCGGGTTACCACAAGCGTGGTTGGCTAGGGTTACCACAATGATGGCTCCATAAGGTTACCACAAACATGGTTGAATAAGGTTACCACAAGCATGGTTGATTAAGGTTACGACAAGCGTTGAATAGGGTTACCACAATGATGGCTCAATAGGGTTATCACACAAGCATGGATGAATAGGCTTACCACAAGCACGAATGGATAGGGTTACCACAAGGACGGTTGATAGCTTTTTACCACAAAAAGTGATCGTTCGAAACGATTTTAATTGATCAAAGTGGGGGAGGGGGAGGGGAATGGATAGAGGGCGAGAGAAGGCAGCACTGTAGGAAGCGAGGGTGGACTGAACGGGTTCACGCAGCAAATTGGGGTGGGAAACAGACCCCCAAAAAGGGGTGAGGGGTGGGTGGCGAGACGTAAAGCAAGTCATGCAGACGGACAGCATGCACACCACGCGCGGCAGCACAGCACATGCAGCGGAAGCAGCTTACCCGGTCGTCTTCACTGGATGAGATCGTGGGGAAACACGCGCCCACGGAGAAGGCGGAATTGTAGGACAAGCGGGTAGACTGAATGCACCCACAACATACCACATGCAGCACCGTAGGCAGCAACGTAGGCAGCTTACCCGGTCGTCTTCACTGGACGAGCTCGTGGGAAACACTCGCCCACACTCCGCCTCTTGCACGCCCATCCCAACGCTTGCCCCTCTCCCCCCTCCGCCCATTCCGCCCGCTCCGCCAGCCGTCCCCCGCCCCACACTAACGCCGATATCACTCCCGCAGGAGGTCCCCGCGGGGTCCAGGGGCGGGGGGGAGCCGCAGCGGGTGTGCGCAGCAGGCGCGGTTGGCGGCCCGAACTCGCTCTGGCGGGCTTTCCGCGCGGCAATGGCGCGCTGCGCTGCTGCGGCCGTGTGCGCGTCCATTGCCTGCCTCGACCTCTGACACACCGCCTGCTGCGCCGCTTGCTGCTGCTGCTGCTGCGCCGCATGCGCCTGCTCCAGCTGCTGCTGGTAGTACTGTTGTTGCTGCTGCTGCTGTTGCTGCTGAAGCTTGTTTTGACTGGGTGCCGGCATGGGCGGAAGCTGAAACCCTGAATGGTCGGACGAAGACGAGGGAGACACAATCGCCGCCTGCTGATACGGCGGCTGCTGCTGCTGCTGCAGCTGTTGCTGCTGCTGCTGCTGCTGCAGCTGTTGCTGCTGCTGGTACTGCTGGTACTGCTGCTGCTGGTAGCTCCCCCAGCTGTCACCTCCCCCGCCTTGCCCCATGGGGGAAGGAAGCGGCGGCTGCCGCGGCGACGGCTGATAGCTCGACCGAGACCCACCGTGCCCCATCTCACCAGACCCCGGCGGTCCTTTACCAGCACCTCCTTTTGTATAAGCCTGATTAGGGTTAGAATACGGGTCCATATGCGAAAAGTCGTCTACGAAACCTTGCATCTGCTGCTGCTGCTGCTGCTGCTGTGGTTGCTGCTGTTGAGACTGTTTGGATTTTACCTTTGCCTTTGCCTTGGGCTTTGTTTTCTGGACGGTCGGAAGCGAGTCCTCTGCCTCCATTCCCGACCATTGCGAACCGACTTCACTATAAGCGCACTCGTCATGGTACCCGTTCATTTCTCCCGCTCCGTATTGCTCGTTATTGTACGAAGGTTCCTCATACTGCGTCGAGCCCTGATACGGGACCTGCTGCGACCAGCCTCCGTAGCCGTCAACACTACCGCGGCCGTCAGCACCACCTGCCGGTCCGTCTCTTCTGTCCGGACTCGGCCGGCCGCGAGAACTTTTCTGTGTTCCTTTGCCGGCGCCGTCTCTTATCAAATCGCTCCTCGTGCGTCGCACTTCAGGTGGGTTCGAGTCGGAATCGCTATGGGTCGCCTGACGAGTCGTCTCGCTTTGCGTGCGATTCACTGGCGGCGGAACGCCCCCCTCCGCACCGTACTCAACACCGTCGTCACCGTTGTCGTCACCGCCGTTACCACCGCCGGCGGCGTAAGCACTCTCCTCGTTCCAAACCACCGACTTTCCCGCCGCCGCGCTGCTCGCTCCACCGATGCTTCCTCCCCTCCCACGACTGCTGCCGCCTCCGCCGCCGCCGCCGCCGCCGCTGGCGTCGCTGTCGGCGAATTGAAACGAGGCAGACGACGACTGGGACGGAGTTTGTCGGCGAGTGGAGGACTTCAGAGAAGGCTTTAAGTTACGACTGGTAGATTCTGTGACGGAATTAGACGGCGGGAATGGTGACGAGGACTTGGAGCGATGAGGTTTGTCGGGTGCGGTTGTGGCTGGTTGCTGACGTGGCTGCTGCTGCTGATGGATTCTTCGGGTGGCCATGAATTAATGATTAGTATTAGTAGGAGCTGACAGCACTTATGGCTATATGCCGGAAATTATAACGACGTCAGTTCAGAAAGGGTCTGAAAAGATTGTCAGGTCAGTTCAAAGGAAGCCGACAAAAAAATAGCGGGAACAATCGCGACGCAGCATAGATGGTTTCGTTGCACCCAGACTTACGAGAGCTTAGGAAAACGGAAGACACTAGACACCAAGACAAAAGGAGGTTTCGATATTAGACAAGCACTAAGATCCGCAACCCGTGGCCGCTAGTAGAACTGTATTACAGCAGCATTGCTTTTCTGATGTTCATTTCCAACCGCTATTGCAACAGACTTCGCTTGTTGCGGGAGTGCACTGCACACAAATTAGTGCTGAGCCGACATGACGATTTCTGCGTCCCAGCCAAGCTTTTTGCGGCAACAGCAGCAGCAGCAGCATGGATGCAGGAAATGTAAATAATAACGAAACCACCAAAGCAATTGCAGTGTAGTCATACTGGCAGGCTTGGCCATCTTTCACACACCAGAGGAAGGCCAACGGAGGCATCCAAAGGCGAGGGATGGGTCGAGGCTAGGAACCCTGCCTGGACAGGGACATCGAGCGGTGACGTCATGGCCTGTTTCCCCTTGAGCTGCACGGATGGTGATTGGTGCTTAGCCTGGCTTGGGAGCCTGTTTGGTTTGCGTAAGTGGTTGGGTTTGAGGGCAACGTCGAGGTGAGGTGAGGGAGGTACGGACGGAAGGATACTCAAACGGTCGGTGATGAAAAACGGCAGAGGACACATGAGGACTAAGTGGGAAGGGGCGCCCGAAATGGTCCTCTTCCAAACGCGTACATTTCGCTTGACGTCGACCGTTACGATGTCGTCTACGATGTTCCTTCGCGTGTGTCCACTAGGATGAGTTGGATATTCGTCGGGATGCGATTGGATGCGATTTTAATGGGCAAGGAGGCGATGAGACGATATGATCTATCCATCCAAACCGAACAGTGCTGGAATAAGCACCCTTTATTTGTTTCACCGGTAAAACAAAATACTGTACTGGTACGTCTCGCCACAATATTGGATCCTGCAATTTACGCCACCAATATTGGGTCTAGAGAGGCGTAACCTCCACCAGGAGTGGACTTGGTAGAACTTGCTAAAACATTCATAGGCGCTGTTCTGTAGGCGTTAAAATTTCCAAAAACTGGGTCCGCAGAATCTTCGTTAATAAGTGGTCTTCTGCCTATCAAGGTTTGGTGATAAGAAAGTTCCTGCCGAACCTGTTTGCGCCAAATTTAACGCATCAGCCTGCAGAACGCCACTTTTGGGGCGCACGAATTTAACCGTCTGCAGGTTCGAAGTTGTTGCTTCGCCGAGCAAATGGTCGCACAACTAGTGCGGTGCTAATTCTACCTCGGGAGCTAGCATCAGCCTCCGCACATGTTATGCGAGGCAGCAACATCCGCGCAACGCAACCAGCATGAATGCGCCTAGAAAATGCACGGAAGGCTACCGCGGTCAAATTGGTGCGGAACCCTAAACGCCTGCACAACAACGCCATAGGTTTCTTCACTGGACATTTGGGTGATCCCCCGCAGCAGTACAACGGATCGTTGTCAGGGCAAAACGGTGCCAGGGTGGCTGGCAGGAAAGCTGGCCTAAGGCCCAATTGGCCCCCCGGCTTTCATCCAAACGAGACTCTGGCAGTTTCCGCAACCGCCACATCCTTGGGTGGCAAATGCTGCTGGTTCGGCAGGTGTCCTCCCAACTAAACCAGACAAGCTTGGTCCGACTTCCTTGACAACCTCCGCCTATCCGATGTTCTTGTTTGTCTACGGTGTGCCGCTAAATGTTGTCGAATTCATTTGAATCACACAGCGCCTTGTTATGATTCATTTAGAGAAAAATGGGATGATCAGTCTGATGATCATATTTATTTATGTGACAATCAGACGAATTAATCAGCACTTTGGGTGGTCTGATTGACTAGTCCTCCCCTTACAAACGAATGCCATCCTAGATCGTACAGACAGATATTAGAATCAACAACTTCAATAATATTTTTCTTTACACGCAGATAAAGAATACCAAGTTGTTCTCTTGCTGACAATTAATTTTAACGATAACATCTCCATGCTTGGAGCTATAAGTTTCAATGGTAAAATGAGTAAAAGCTAGAACGATTGAGAAATATATGAAACTTTTTGAACTAGCATAAATCGTTTCAATATTTTCTGAAAGAAAGACACACACATACGGTATGATCAATTCCTCATATGGACACTTGTGGAAATCGTTGCTACCGTCTATACACTAACAGTCTACGTGTATTTGATGCGTGTTGTCCTCGTTCACCCCCACAGCAATCTCGAGAATTGATTCACCCATCCGCATCATCACCATCGATCAAGAATGATCCACCACCAGTGCGCTATGGCTTGATTTCGTTCATAGTCGCTTTCAGCGGCTCAACGCGCACGATGCCATCGGCTATTCGGAAAACCTGTAGATTTCTCAGTGTTTTAGCTTAGAAACTCGCTGGTTTGGAAGCTTGCAAAAGGACGCGCTTTGCAGCCTTCGCGAGCGCGACGGGAGTTGTTGCGGGATGAATAGCATGGGAACGGCGGGCTGATTCCGGCTTCTACAAGCGACCAGATTTTCTTTGCTCCCCTGTTCAGTGTAATCAGTCAGCTTTTCTACTTGAGAATTATACTCAAACCATCCTTCCGCACTGCCAGATTCCGCGTTTGCAGATCCTTTCCCCGCTAGCCCGCCCTTCCCCGCACCCCCTCCCCCCTCCCTCCCTTCCACCCCCTCTTTCGTCTCTTCCGTTGTCCAATCATCAATTCGACGCAGTCTCAGTCAACTTTCAGTCACCGTCACAGTCACCGTCAGAGTCGCCGTTTCACTCAACAACGCCTGACATCGTAGCTCCACCACTCCACCAACGATGCCGCTGCGCGCCGAGTCTCGCTCCGCGCATGTGTCCGACGGCGCATCCGTCCACGTCACCAGGCCGCACCGCGCCATGCTCTCCTTCCTCTCTGGATCTACCGCCGTCGCGACCGCCACAGGCCGCAGCGCAGGCCGCAGCCGGCAGAAGAAGCTAGGTATAGGCGTGACAGGCGCCGTAAATTGCGGAGAGGAGGGATTGGAACTCGTTCCCCCACATGGCAGCAGCGCCGGTGCTGGTAACCCGATTTCCCACTCCTCCTGGCACTTAGCTAGAAGGGATCCTGGCCTAGGAGCTGGGTTAAGTGCCAGTGGCGGCAGCGGGTTTAGTCTAAGCGGCGGGAGTAGTTTCCACAGAAGCGTTGGGTTAGGGGTAGCAGGAGGGGGAGGGGGAGGAGGAGGCGGAGGAGGTGGGGGAGGAATTGGTATAGGTATTGGTGGTGGTGGTGTTGGTGGTGGTGGGAGCGGAGGAGGGGCGATGGGTATGCACAAGCTAGTTCAGAATGGGCTATCTACGCTAGGATCTTTGCTGCTGCTGGTGCTGGTGCTGGGTCTGGTGGGGTACCAGGCGGAAATTCATGAGACTCTGATCCGGGAGACTGCGAGAGTGGGGGCTGCGGCGGCGGCGGTGGGTGGTGGAGGGGGTGCAGGGGACGGGAGAGGCGGCGGTGGTAGCAGCAGCAGTGCTTGGCCGATTGGGTGCCCTCTGCCTCTCACGACTGACCTGCCTAACAAGGTGGGTGGCGGTGGCCCTTTGAGAAGTCTCAGAAAATCACCAGCTAAGTGCGTGGCCCCTGCCACTCACGACTGACCTTCCTAACAAGGTGTGTGTGAGTGATGCGAGTTCTGAGATGTCTCAAGAATCGTTTCAAGAAGTTTCAACAAAGCAGCAGTGCTTGGCTGATTGGGTTCCCTCTGCCTCTCACGACTGACCTGCCTAACAAGGTGTGTGAGTGATGCAAGTGACACGAATGGACTTCCACCCCCCCTCCCCCCTTCTCCTGTTGTCCGGCTTAATGACACAGAGCCGCTTTCTGCTCCCCCTCTCCCCGCCTAGCCACCCTTCCCTCCCACCCAACCCTCTCCAACCTGTTTCCGTACTTGTGTGCCTGTGCGTGTGCCTGTGACTGCATGTGCTTGCGTCTGTGTGTGCGTGTGTGCAGACTCGTCTGGTGGACTCCCCACAGCCGTTTCAGCTGCGAGTCAAGCTGCTCGTCTCTTCCCGCAACGACCTAGCTTCCGTGTCTCGCACGCTCGCATCACTTGCAGCTGTTGATTATGACGGAGATATTGTTCGCCTGCATGTATTTGTGGACCACTTTCTTTATAACGCGTATGGAGGAGACAGAGGAGGGGGAGGGGGGCGGGAACGTGGAGGAGGAAGACAAAGACGAGATGATGTGGATGGGGATGCTGATGCTGATGGTGATGGTGATAGAGAGGGTGATGGTGATGCTACAGACAGAAGGAGCGATCGTGGTGTTGCAGATAAGGCAGAGAGACGTGCTCGGGAATTGAGAATACGAGTCGGAGAATCAGAAGAAGAATCAGAGGCGGGCAGTAAAGGCGACTCCATCAGTAGCAGCAGCAGCAGCAGGAGCAGCACCGCTGCTGCCAGCGCTGCCACTGCTGCCAGCAGTACTGCCGGTGGTGGTGGTGGTGGTGGTGACGGTGCTACTGGCAAGGACGGGGAGAGTGCTGCTGCAGAAGTGGCAGTGCGGTTGGCGAGGGCGAGGGCAGTGTTGGAGTATGTGGATGCCTTCCCATGGCCGCATGGGCCCAAGGACGTGCACTACAGGTACGCCCTTTTGAAACTTGGTGATTATTTTCACTTTCGGGTGCCGTGTAAGACCGTGGAACTTGTGATGTTTCTTCATTCACGCCCTCGTTCGCCCCCTCATCTCCCCTCCCTTTCTACCCCCAGGTCAGTGAGTGCAGGCGCACAGGCGCAGTGGGTGGAGGCGTGGTGGCCGGCATCGGACCACGAGTTTGCTCTGCTGCTCACCGACCGTGCGTTGGTGTCACGGCATCTGTACCGCTACCTGAGAGCGCTCGTCACGGCCGTGTATTTCCACCCGGATACTTCGGACCCTGCTGTGCTCGGCATGGCCCTCTCCCGCCCCGCCACCGTTGCCGGTAGGCTTTGAACGGAGGCAGGTGGGTGCTTGTAACGCTGTTGGTGCTGCTGCTGCTGCTGCTGGTGCTTGTGCGCAACTGCTGCTGCTGCTGCTGCTGGTGCTAGTTCTTTTCTTGAGGCTCCTCAAGAGTGTCGCGGCACTGCTACCGCTACTTGAGAGCGCTTGTCACTGCTGTGTATTTCCACCCGGACACCTCTGAACATGCTGCTGTGCTCAGCATGACCCTCTCCCGCCGCGCCACTGTTACTGGTAGGCTTGAACACAGGCAGGTGGGTTCTGGTGGTGGTGATGCTGTTGCTGCTGCTGCTGCCGCTGCTGCTGCTGCTTACTCCTCCTTGCGCCGTCCCCATTGCCCTCCTTCCTACATCCACCAGGCAAGCGAGGGAACCAGGCTCTCCACTCCAACACTACGGGTCTTCTCCTCTCTACCGTGCCACTCATCCCCCTCACCCACCTGCTTCTCTTTCCCATGACCCACGCCACTTCAAATCCAGGATACCCCTTGTGGTGCGCGCACGTGTCGTGAGAATCTTCCTAATACACTCTACAACCGCAAGGCTATTACCAACTTCTCTTTTCTCCCCACCCTAACTCCGTGCCAACTTCTCTACCAGGCAAGAGAGGCAACCAGGCGCTACTCACCAACACCACGGGTCTCTTCCTCTACCGCGCCACAGACCCTCTCGCCCAGCTGCTCTTCCCGCGGCCCTGGAAGGCCTTTCGCCGCTGGTACGACCAGCAGAGCGCCACAGGCGGGTCAGCAGCAGTCGAAGGCCTGGTTGCTGCGGCCGATGCGCCGTGGCAACGGCGGCAGCAGCGGTGGTGGGAGCAGCGGTGGGAGCAGCAGGGGCAGCGGGGGCAGCCGGGGCAGCGGTGGGAGTGGCGGCGTGGGGGAGATGATGTGGTGTGGACCCCGTGGGAGTGGGTGATGCGGTTTATGCATGCAGGGGCGTATGTCAACCTCTTTCGGGTGTTTCCCCGGGGAGGCACGCTGGCGGTTTCGCATGAGTGAGTGTTCTGTGCTCTGGTTCTGAGTCGACTCAAAAGCGCATGAGTGAGTGTTCTGTGCTCTGGTTTTGAGTCGACTCAAGAGCGCATGAGTGAGTGTTCTGTGCACGCATGAGTCGGCCCGTCCCAAAGCTCAGTAACCTGTTTTTGAGTCGACTCAAAAACAAACCTTCGCTTCCTGCTTCCTTTCTTCCCTTCTCTCCCCTGCCCCCGTTCCCGCCCACCCCTCTGGTCCGGCTTGCGAGCTCTCTTTCTTTCAACATTCATTTGTCAGTTCACTAGCGCAATCACCACCATGTGACTGAATGCGTTCACTGCACTGCATGACCATATGTGCATGTGCATGTGCATTGTATCACATCGCATGGCATGCAGAGACATGGATTCGCCATACACAGGAACAGCAGGCATGGTATCGGAACTCGTGAGCGACGAGGCAATGGCGCAGGGAGGAGGAGGAGGAGGAGCAGGAGAAGGAGGTGGTGGGGGAGGGGGCGGAGGAGGGGAAGAAGCAATGGCAGCGGCAGCCTCGGATGACACATGGTCCTTCCCACCGCTCCGGAAGCTGCGTCGCTTCGACCCCTGCTTCCAGGTGAGCCGAGCCTGTGATGTGACCACATGTGACGCTGCCCGGCCGGTTGGTGGAGTGGAGTGCTGTTGAGATGAGACGTCTCAACAGTCGCAAGCTGCGTCGCTTCGACCCCTGCTTCCAGGTGAGCCGAGCCTGTGATGTGACCACATGTGACATGTGACGCTGCCCGGCCGGTTGGTGGAGTGGAGTGCTGTTGAGATGAGACGTCTCAACAGTCGCAAGCTGCGTCGCTTCGACCCCTGCTTCCAGGTGAGCCGAGCCTGTGATGTGACCACATGTGACACTGTCCTCTGCGTTTTTAAGTTTTGAGACGCCTTGATACTCGATACATGCGACTGGATTTTGATTGAGTCGTCGACTCAAAAGTCAAGCTGTGTCGCTTCGATCCCTGCTTCCAGGTGAGCCCGTGGCATGTGACACTGGCCAGTTGGTGGAGGGGTGGGGAGGGGAGTGGAGTGGAGTGGAATGGAGTGGAGTGGAGTGGAGAGGAGTGGAGTGGAGAGGAGTGGAGTGGAGTGGAGTGGAGAGGAGTGGAGTGGAGTGGAGTGGAGTGGAGTGGAGTGGAGTGGAGTGGTGGAGTGGAGTGGAGTGGAGTGGAGAGGAATGAAGGCTTCATAGTCACCCTTCATCCTTCACTTCCTCCTCCCCTCTCTTTCCGTCCCTCACGTCTCACCATGTCTCTCATGTCTCTCCTCGCCTCTGCTGGTTGGCTTGGCTGGCATCATGTCTCTCACATCTGTGATCTATCAATCCTGTGGTCTCTCCCCTTCCTTCTTTCCCTCCCTCATCCGTGCTTTTGAGTCGACTCAAAAGCACCTTTGCTGGTTGGCTGGCATAATGTCTCTCATGTCTGTGATCTATCAATCGTGCGGTCTCTCCCCTCCCCTTCCCCTCCCTCATCCTCTCTCCCGTCTGCTGCTCCACTCCCCCTCCTCCCCTCTCATCCGCTCCCTCCGCTCCATTCCCCTCCCCTTTCCCCCATCTGTCTCAGGAGTTCTCCTCCTCTCGCCTCGCTCGCAGCCCAGAGGACATAGCCCCTCTGCTGGCCTCAGTTCACCGCCGTTCCACCATCGTCCTCGTCAACGCGCTCCACTCCTCCGCACCCTCTCCCACCACATTCCACTCCTCGCCTTCCTCAACTGCTCCCAGTTCTTCGGTCCCTTCGGTCACTCCACCCGCTTCCCTTGATTCCTCCGCTTCCCCCGCTACTTCTCCTTCCTCTCCCGCACTCTCTTCCTCTTCCTCCGAAGCTTCGTCTCATCCTCCTCTTGATCCCTCATCTGCATTATCATTATCACCTGCTTCCTCATCCACCTCATTCGCGCTAGACTCCCCTGGTCTCGACCCACTACTGGCGAACTGGCTGTGCCGTGCTGCTCGCCTGCAAGTGTCCAACTACGTGGTTCTGCTGGATGATGGGCCGCTGGGGGTGCACCTCACGCGGCAAGGCCATGCCGTCATGCAGGTATGCGTGTGTGTGTGCTCAATGTCACGTTGCCATCGAAATGTGTGATGGAAGTGTGCTCTTTGCCTACCTCCAGGGCCCAAAGTTCCTCTCTTTCTGCTCTCACCTTATGAGGCGCCTCAAAAGTTGATGCAGGTAAGCGTGTGTCTGTGCTCACTCCCATGCGGCCTTCCAATCCAAATGTGTGATGGAAGTGTGCTTTTTGCCTACCTCCAGGGCCCAAAGTTCCTCTCTTTCTACTCTCACCTTATCTCCTCCCTTCCTTCACCCACCATCCCCAACCTTTCTAGTACACTTTTTTCCATCCCTCCCCTCCCCATCTCCTTCCCCCACGCTCGATCCTACTCTCCCCCATTGTCACTCCCCGCCCGACCTTCCCCTCCCCTGACACCACCCTCCTCCACCCCTTCTTACGCGTGCAGCTGCAGCAAATCCAGGAGGCAGCAGATGAGAGGGAGTCTGCAGTCATGCTCGAAGGCAGGGGACAAGACCCTTCACTCCTAATCATCTCCCCCACACTCGACCCCTCTTTTACCCCTCTTTGCCACCCTTTTCTTGTACCCACAGCTGCAGCAAATCCAGGAGGCAGCGGATGAGAGAGAGTCAGCAGTCATGCTAGAGGGCAGGGGGCGAGCCCCTTCACGCAAGGTGGTGGGTCGGGTGACCTTGGAAACACCTGATTCGCTAAAGTCATTGCCATTGTACGGAAACTCACATTCGCTTAGAACCCTGAAGTCCCTTGGGAATTCCGCGAGCTACCACAATGCGGGCAGAACTTCCTGGGATTCTGCAGGGCAAGCGGGAATGTCGGGAATGCTGGCACGAGCACACGGGCTTGGGTCAACTGTCGTATCGTCACAAGAAGGGCCGAGACCTCCCTCTCTCGCATCTGCGTCAGCACAAAGGTCGAGAGTGTTACTGTCGCAAAGCTCGCGCGCTGTCCCGTCACAAGCATCTCGCAAAGCCGAGGAGAAGGGGCAGGCAGGGTTGGGTGAGGAGGGGGACAGACCTGTTCGGCTTGCTTCTACCGGAGGAGCTGGTGTCGGTGTTTCCGCGATTGAAGCAGAACGCTCGACTGTTGCTGCTGCTGCGTTTGCTGCTGGTGCGGATTTGCCTGGTGTTCCCCCATTGGGCGAGGGTGTTGGTACGGCACGGGGGGAAGCAGCAGGTGTGGATCTGATTGCGGCTTCTGCTGCTGCTGCTGCTGATGGTGGTGATGGTGGTGGTGATGGTGATGGTGACGGTAGTACAGCTGGAAACGGAGAAGAAAATGGGGACGGATTGACAGGGGAGGAGTATGGGGATGATTTGGCAGTGTGGGAGGCGGCAGGTCAGGCATTGGAGCGGCAGAAGCTGTGGCTAGATGGCGTGCATTCCGCCATACAGCTAGGGTATCACGTTGTGCTTGCTGATCCGCGCTCTGTGTGGCTCTCTGATGTCTCTGCTTCTCTCGCTGATGCTGCTGCCGCTGCTGGTGCTGGTGCTGGTGCTGCTGACGGTGCAGGGCCGAAGGGTGAAGAGGCGGATGTTGTGGGAATGGTAGTTGTAAGAGAGGCAGAGGACGGAGGAGCAGAGACAGGAATAGGAGATGGGAGTGAAGGAAGAGCAGGTGGGGATGCGGTATCAGGACCTGCAGGCAAAAAAGCGGTGGTTGATGTGGAGAAAGGTGAAACGAGGCTGAAGGGAGTAGAGGGGGTAAAGGGAGAGAAGGGGGTGGAGGGACCAGAGGGAATGGAGGAGGTAAGTGAAAGAGGGGTGGTAGAGGTGAGGAACGCAGGCAGTGTGGGAGGCAGGAAGCGGGTGGATGCAGGTCAATCTGAGAGGGAGGAAAATGGAGAGGGGCGGGGATTAGAGGGCAGCGGAGAGGAGAACGAAGAGGCACGCATGGTTCTTGAGACTACAGGGTTTGTAACACAGTCCGCTACTCCTAGCTCGAATGCGCACGCTCATTCCCGTTCTCGTGCTGGTGCTGCTGGTGGTGCCGGGCGGGAGTTGGTAAGTAGTGATGGTGATGTGAGCAGTGCAGCAAGAGCCATGGACCAGAAAAGAGACAGCGAAGGAGACGAGGGCGAGGGTGCTGGCAGCAGCAAGAGCACCGGCAGCAGCAGCAGCAGCAGCAGCAAAATTACCAGCGGCAGCAGCAGCATCGGCATCAGTCCTGTGAGTGACGGAACAGTGGATTTGTCAAAAGCGGTGGAGCAAGGAGGCGCGCTGTCTCTCACGCTGCTGTATCTGCGCAGTTCAAAGGCCACAGAACGCATGTGGGCTGCTCTCATGGCGTCCCACGAGAAACACATGCAGCGACTGCAAGCAGCCAAGCCTCCTTCCACCTCCCCTTCCTCCACCTCCTCTTCCTCTTCCTCTTCCTCTTCCTCTTCCTCTCCCTCCTCATTGTCCTCTGCTTCTCCTGGGAATGCGTCAGCTGCTGCTGTGAACGATGCAGTGGGAGAGGAGGGAGGGGGAGGAGTCAGTTCCTTGCTCCCACCACTCTCGTCACAGAAACAGGAACTTTTCAAAGTAGAAAGTGCAGCAAGAGAACAGACCAACCCCGCCACCACCACCACCACCACCACGATAGTTGGAGGGAGAGGAGGTGCAATAACACAGGATGTGGTGGCGAAGAGGTGGGGCGTGGGGTGGGATAGACTGGGCCGGTCAATGCTCCAAGCAGCCAAGGCCACTGGTGTTGTTGTCAGGAGCTTTCACCCCGACGCTGTTGTTGCACTGTCTCGGTACCAAGCCCTGGTTTTGGAACAGCAGCAGCAGAAGCGGCAACCCTCGGAGCAAAATGAAGAGGAGGATGGGGCGGAGGTGGGAGGAGAGGAGCAGGAGGCGGAGCTGGAATCAAAATCCCGCCGAGGATTACAGGAGGGCAGTGGTGGGGCCAACAACATTGGTAACACAGAAGAAACAAGATTACCAAAACAAAGAGCTCATACTGGCAATGCAAGTAGCCTGGAAGCTGGGCCTCTTTCTACAGCCAGCCTCACAGGCAGTAGAAGCGACAGGTCCGCAGCTGCTGCTGCTGCTGCTGTTGCTGTGGTAACACTCCCAGTACCGACACAGCCTAGCATTGCAGGGAAATCTAATACGCAAAGGGGGAAGAGGGCAGGGGGGTCATCGGTTCTAAGAACGCTAAGTGCTGCAGACTTGTGGGAGGTGGATGAGGACTTGGCGTGCAGAGAGGTGGTATGCACTCCTGTGCCCTCATGACAGTGATACTGGTAGGCTTGAGAAGGGAGCTGTAACAGCATTTTATCATCATGCATGTACAGTGTACACCATTGCAATACCATGCTCATTTGAGCAGTAATTTCCATTACTCACAAGTCTGTTGCCTGCCATGCCATGATGCCATCATAAACACATCTTGGTCACAGTAAACCATTGGCCTTCCCACCCACCCATCTACGGTACCTGACATCTCTGGAGTGAACAGTGAACACCTACCTGCGTGGATCCATGCGTATTGGCTGGCTCATAGATTCATCAACCATACACTCCTCATACCGTACTACCACTACATGACATGAGCTTGCATATAGTAAGGGTACATTCCTGTGGGGACACAAATGTCTCAATCGCTTTGTGACACACAAAAACAGCATAAACTGTAGTGTGTCCCAATTGCGAGTCGCCTTTCCGCGACCATAACTGTACTTTTTTATTGGTCAGCGTGAAACGCGCTGACGTCGCTGACGAATTGTAATCCGACTCGTCAATGTGAAGAATTCGCACGCGGCTCGAAATGTCAATGCACCTGGACAGCCTGCAGTGCCAATTTCGTGCGGGAAAAAATCCCGCGCGTCGAAACCACACCCCAGCCAAGCGGTTGAAGAAAGGGATGTACAGTCATTTGTGTCACCCAATCAAATGCGCACAACTGTACATTTCGCCGGGTCGCCTAGAGTCGCGATACATTGGTTGTTTGTGACACAACATTTGGCAAATTTACAGACGCGACTCGGGAAAACGGGGATTGAGACACAAGTGTCCCCGCAGGAATGTACCCTAAGTCTCTCTCTGTCCCGCATACTCATCAACCATGCAAGTCTCTCTCTGTCCCTTGAACTGGAGCCGCTACTTCACAAATATACCGTTGTGTGCTCCTAGTCTGACCTCACTCGGTCATACTAGTTTCCCTCTGCATCCAATCCAACTCACGATGTACACCAACCAACGTTCTTTAGTCATATACTGTGTTGTACCATAAGAGCCACATGCATCTCACCCAATCTTCGATATTGAGAAAGCTTGCTTCTGTAGCAATTGGCATCGTTCTCATTACAATGGGAATTGGCATCGTTCTCATTACAATGGGCTCAAGTACAATAGTTCCTAGCAGTAATATAGTTGTAAGAACAAAACAAGATGTGTAAGAACTACTACTTTGCAAGGGTGACTAGCCTGGGGAGGGTGGGTGGGAATTGAACTTGAGCGATTGTAAAAATGAGAGACGTGGGTGGGGGAAGAATGACCCCAACCCACATTATATATTCGGAGAAGGCGAATAGCGTGCTTCGACGATGCTCAAAATTGCGTTACAGTCAGCTTCGCTTTCACAATACACAATTTTGAAAGCGATGAACGCTTAGAAATTTTTCATATTGAGAAAGCTTGCTTCTGTAGCAATTGGCATCGTTCTCATTACAATGGGTCACGCTGAGACATGTGCAAGGGTGCCAGACGGTGGCGCTTGAGAGCTCTGGAGTGTTGTGCTGGTGACGGCGCAAGAGCCGTTGATTGGAGGTTGCGAGAGGCACCAATCAGGCGATCGGCGGTGGGTGTGACATACATTTCCTTGGCTGATTCACTGCGCCAACGGCCAAGCTGTTTGAAGAGTCGATCCTCGATTCCTGCGTTTGCTGCTACAGTTGCTGCTCCTTTGCGAAAGGAGTGGGTACCAAGAGCATGGTCACCAAGGCCGATGGCGAGAAAAGCTTCCTTGCACCAATTGCGTATGGTGGTGTACGACGGTGGTTTGACCGAGAGTGAGCCTTTCGTAGCCGAACCGAAGACTCGGATTAATGGCCCTGGTGTGGAAGGACCATATCTTGCCAGTTGGATGAATCGCTTGGTGCATCGAACGGGGCAGAAGGGTCCCTGACTTGCGGCAATAGGCACCCATGCGCCCTTCGCCTCTTGGTCCGTCTTTGAGCGCGGGATGAGTAGCCACATGACATCGTCTTCAAACTGGATATCGTTCCAGCAGATGGAGGCGAGATCCGAATACCGCAAGAAACCGGCGTACATGAGAAGTGGTATGAGTCCTTTTTGAAAGGTGGACGGGTCGTCGGAACCAATGAAGTGTGCGGCCATGGCGTGCACTTGGTGAAGAGACACTGGTTCTTTGGTCCTGTGGGGCCGAGGGCAGTGGCGCTTCGCAAATTCTCGGACTTGAGATGTCATTGGGCCGATAGTTGGGCAAGCAGCCCCAATCATGCGGTGGGCGAAACCAACCGCCGAACAAGTGAGTTGCACCACTGAGAAGGTGGCTTGGTGGCGAATGGCGTAAACGAGGTATAGGGCGAGTGTTATATCTCGTGCAGGCAGGAATGGTAGCTTAGCCTTGATGCAGAATGAACGGAACTGCTGCCAGTATGGTTCGTAAGTCTTGATCGTAGATTCCGCACGCGTTTGCAGCATCATAGAGAGCAATTGGCTCTGCAGCGAGCGAAGTAACCCTGAAGCGATCAGAGAGGGCGCGAGCAATGTGTTAGCGGAACGATATGCGCAGGGCCATCATCATGCTATGGGGGAGGCCGGAACCCGAGAATGCGGTGGTGTGCGTGCCAGGTGCAAGGCATTGGCTTCCGTGAGTAAGTTTCAAGGAGTCACGGATCTGCGAGGCCCAGGCGGGCCCGCTACTTCACAAATATACCGTTGTGTGCTCCTAGTCTGACCTCACTCAGTCATACTAGTTTCCCTGTGCATCCAATCCAACCCACGATGTACACCAACCAACGTTCTTTAGTCATATACTGTGTAGTACCATAAGAGCCACATGCATCTCACCCAATCTTCGATATCAATCAGCACTAGCTGGAATACTGTAGGGAGTCAGGAAAAGCTTTTACCGGCACGAGTAAATGAAACACACCAAATTGGTGCCCTTTTAACGAGCTGTGTACATATAAAAAGTGTTAGCAGAGACACTAAAACTCTATCTCCTCTCCACTCCAGCCATACATGCACAGATAAGCGCATGCATTTGGGTTGAAAACATCCATGAAAAAACTGACGCTGTATTCCCACCTACCATATTCCCAACAGCTGCTCACTAACTAGAGACACGTGCACTTGCAGCAGCAGCAGCAGCAGCAGCTAAAGAGCAAGATCACCACAAACACCACCACCAGCAGCAGCCTTAGCTGCTACTAGTCCTCCTAACCGTGACTTATACAAGCTGCTGCTGCTGCCAACCACCACCGACCGCCACTACGCAATCCCGCATTACAAAAACCCTCTTGATGCTCATGCCATTGCTGCTGCTCCTCCTCCTCCTCCTCCTCACTTTGCCCCACTATCCTCCCCACTTCTCCTCGCCCCCACTTAGTCGAGATCAGCTACATGCTGGGTGTGTCCCACCAAGGAGACCACTCATCTATCTTCACAGCAACCAGCAGCCAGAGCAGTAGCTCAGGACAACACCACCCACTTCTACCTGTATCTGTACCCTATATGGGGGCCGACTAACTATCCGCCACTACCCTGCCGCTGTCTCGTGTCCACTGCTGCTGCTGCCGCTGCTGCTCCAGACCCTAAAAAAGCACCCGTTGTCGCACAGGCAGCAAAACAGGCTGCCTCGTCCTCCTTTCCCCCCGCACACGACTACACCGATTCCATTTTTTTCCACCTCTCTTCTCTCATTCTTTCTCCATCTCTTTCTCTCTCTCTCCCTTGCTTTCCAGGCACCTTTGAGCGAGGTGCCGCCTACTCTTCATTCATACAACCTTCATGAACCATCTCTCCCTCCCAGGACGCTGTTTCATGGAGCTACGTGCATGCGTGCAACGCCCCTTTCAAGGGAAGCACAACACGCCACAGCACCACGCTGCACCGCACAGCACCTCACAGCACCGAACAGCATGCCTCACAGCACGTGCACATAGGGTGAACCGGATCCTGCTGAAACTGAATCGTCCTCATACCCACGCGTGTTGCTCTTGCTGTATGGGAACATATTTTCTGCCGAAGGGAAAGGAAGAAGAGGTGGGGGTGGGGGAATGGAAAGATGTGATGGGATGCAAAGACTAACGTGGGTGCACCACAAATGAAACAAAAAACGCGGATTTGAGGAAAAGTGAAGCACATGAAGGCAACCTGGGGGTTTTTTAGGCTTTTGAGGCGCTCCAAGAAAAGACATGCGAACCACATGCATGTAACCAGTGTTGAAATCCAAAAGGGCAGTGCGGGGAATCCAGAGTATTGTGA